AGGAGCCATACAACAACAGTACAGTTATAATGGCAGCTGAACAAGAACAAAAATTGCAAGAAAAGCGACAACGATGGTAACTAAGCTAAGCAACACGCCAAAGTGTGCCAACGTTGCGTATACGTAGACCGCATTTTGATTAATATCCGCAACGTCAAGCGGCTGGGCCGCTCGACTGTCTCTGTCCGCCCGCAGGAAGCCCGTAATGGGCAGCTACAGAAAAAGGCGAACAACAAGTCGCCACGAAAGGTGCGGGTGTCAACTAGACGACAGGAGCGGCAAATGCAGGCGACATGCAATACACAACAGAAACAGCAAAATCAAAGCAAAAGCAACAACAACTCAACGATAAGCCACACAAAGATTTTGTGGTGTTGGCCAAACAAACGCCCACGCCCACGCCCACGTCCTTCTCCATTCATCCTCTTTCCCTGTCCAGCAGTGTCAGCGAACGGCAGTTGATTGTGAAAAGTGGTCACGATGACGACAAAAATTCATTCGCGAAATGAAAACAAAGTTACTCGCCTCAGTTGCCTGAATTGCCTTGCCAGACCAGTTGGCTAGTTGGCCAGCTGGTGAGTGTATGAGAGGTGGCCAGTGAAAAGCAGCATGAACAGAACTTTCACAACAGCGGGAGATATTCTTTTGACTGGTTTATTTGATTTGATGCTGGGTGTCCGCAACAGTGGACGGCACTGTAGTAGTCACATTTTGGATGAAAGAATTGTAAAAAATTGCTAGAGATTTTGTGCGGCACTTTTTCGTCTATTAAGAGCGAAAATTGAGTTTCAACGTTGATTGGCTTTGCGCACAAACAGCTTAAAATTAATTTACGATTATGTCCTGTATGGGTATAGTGCAACGGATTGGCCAAGCGCTAATCAAGCCAGCTGCCACAATAGCAGCACTCACTGAGTGGCCACAAACGCCCATACGGCATCCATCCACTTGCTCCCTTTGGCCCTCGGGACCATGCAAACTCATTCAACCCCTATGCAGTCATAATCGCATTGTAAACTTTTTCAATAACAAACTTTACTAAACGGATTTCCCACTGGACGTTGCGCTTTAATAATTCCGTGTGCCTCCTCATTTCAGGCTCAGGTTGTGTGATGGGCAGCAGCAGCAACAGTTGACCAGACAGCGGCCGGGCAACTTTCGTGCAACAAAACTGAAGGTGGAAGTCGGAGAAAAGTGCAGTAACGCCATTAATTAAAATTGGGGATTATGTGCAGCAAAACCAGCAGCAGGAGCAGCCATACCAACAACAACAACAACAATTGAAAGGTGAGCATTTCCCATATTATTAGGACCCCAATATATTCGACCTAGATGTCCTTTGCATCTCACATCGCCTCAAATCTTCAACTGCCGCACAATTTAAGAATTTTTTGTGTTTTTCTTTTGTTATTTTTGTCAACTCAGAACATTGGACTAGATGATTCTTTCTTTCTTTTCATTTGAAAGCTGATGCTTCCCGTGTGGTCCCATTTCAATTTGGTTATATTTTTGCCACCGTTTTGTTTTGCTGACACCGACTCCGAAAATATCAAAATTTGTACCTACATTATTGAAGAAGAATACGCAATCATTTTTTTTTTTACTTTTTAGTGCATACGCGTATTAATTCTTAGTCGTTGTTTTTTGTTCAAATTTTTGTTTATATTTGCATCATTAAAAAAAGTTTACATTATTAAATAAAAATTGGAATTTTTATATAGTATTTTATTACGTAGCCACAATCATTGATAATGTGTCTGCTCTTAGACTGCAGCAGGAACGCCTATCTAAATTATTCGAGTTATGAAAAAATAATGAATTTATGAGTATAAACCCCATTAAATGAACGTTTGGCTTAAGAATGTAGACAAACAGTAAAGAATTTATCAATTAGGTATATTCAAAGTAAAAATCCAAGGCGCTATGTTAACGTTGTATATTTATAAGTATATAGTGAGTATATACTTCATTAGCCGAAAAAATTCGATGAAGACGCCTATCAATCCATTTGCCTGTTATCTGCATAAATATATAGATTGGATCAATCCAGGCCTAATTTATTTAAAGAACCTCTGTTTATAGAAAAAATGTTTTCAATTTAGGAGGAATAAAAGCCACATTTGGGAATTTTCTCAACAACAACATTCTATTTTAGCTAACTATTCACATTGATGTGATATTGAAGGTAAATAGATTATTCATAATTTAAACAAAATTGTTCAAAAATTGTTTTATTACATACTATGCATAAGAAGGTATCCAGAACTATTGGTAATTTAGGCCATGTTTTTTTAAGTTACTCGCAAAAATGTCCATCTCTGCCTAAATCAACTGCAATTTCTAAGCAAATTCCCTATAGTTTTTTAATCCACTTCTAATAAGTTTTAGTATAAGTAAGCACGATATCGAAAGCATAATTAAATCTAAAAGTTTGGCAATGTAATTTATCAAGCCATTTTCATTGCAGCCTGCAACATCGCCGATGTATGACAAATCAAAGAAAACTTGGGGTCAGAGGCTCAAAATCAGCAACGGCGATAAGTCGGAGACGCTGGCGCTCGGTCATGCGCAACACGCTAACAACATGCAGGCGATGCAACAACTGCAACAGGCACTCCAGATGCAGCACCCACCACACCATGGATATCAGTTGCCGCCGCCCAGTGCACCGCCACCGGGCTACGAGTTTCTGCCCAGCGCCCTCTCGCGCTCCATGAAGTACGCGGAGCCCTGGATATATGGCACTGTGCGCGGTATACCGGCTCGCCACTCCTACCACCACCAGCTGGTGGCAGCTGGCTACGCGCATCCACATGCGGCCGCCATCTTCGCAGCCGAGGCTGCAGAGGCAGCAGCGGGAGGCGCCACGACGGCCACCACTTTGGCAGTTGTCATCTGTTCGTGCGCGGAGTATTTGAATGGCACGAAACGTGATGTGAAGAAGGCGAGCGTGTGCAAGAAGTGCAAAGGTTCGCGCCTGCCGCTGGCCACGATTGGCACGGGCGGTGGCACTGTTCGCCTGCCCGCAGCCACAGCTGCCAATATCAGAATGCGTGGCGTCGCCGGTGGCGCTGGAATGGCGGCGACCATGCGTGTAGTGAGCACGTCGAAGAAGTCACGTCCCTCGATTTTGGACCCACAAAAAGACCCGTACGACCTAATGCGACGCACGCGGCTGCTGTCGCCCGAGCCAAGTGGAGTAGTGGCGGAGGCGAGTGCTTCCTCCAAAGATTCCAAGTCACGTACTCGCGGCAAGAACTCCAGTCCCACGCAACGTGGACGTACACGCACTCGTGCTCCTTTGCCACCAGCCAAGGAACTTACACCTCTGAAGCCGGCGCCACCACCGCCAGCTTCCAAATCACAAATATCAGAGCCTGCGGATTGCTGGCTCGTCGAGGATAATGAATCTTTGCTGCAATGCAGTGGCCTTCATACGCTCAGCAGTCGACAGCCCGTCTCACGTCGCTCTATTTTGCGCTGCAATGTGAATCCCTATGATCTGATCTCAATCGAAAGCAGCAAAAAAAGAGAACAAATCGATGCCTCGAAGCCCCAACAGACGATGCGCGCCAAAGCCAAATCCTTGCCAGCAACTAAGTCGTCCACGTACGACGATTTCGATGTAGCCGATGCACAGTTGCACGACGATGATGAGCTGCAGAAGAGGATAACCGCCACGCCCGAGGAGCGTAAGTTCTACAGCAATAATGTGCAGGCCATTGCCGGTCAGCGCATCAGTCTGGGTGATAAGCAGGCGACTGCTATAATCCAACAGAGCGTCGATAGTGGGGGCGAAGGCGATAATTATGAGCGAATTATCATAGCAGCCGGCGATGAAACATCCAAAACAAATGGACCACGTCGTCCACCACGGAACAAGCGACCGGATGAGCTACCACTGCCCGCAGCTTCACTGCCCGATAAAAGCAACATGATCAATATCAAACGGAACGAAGATGATGAGCAGGAAGATGGGGAAGAAGATGATGACGCTTCCGGAGAGGATACTACAGCATACACCGTGCTCACGGTAACCCCCACCTCGCCGAACATCAAGTCTATACTGAAGCGACCCCTTAGCTTGGACTTGAGTCCCATTCAAGGCGACGATCATGCGACTACACTGTCCGTGACAACGCCGACGGGAAAATCTCAGTTCTATATACCACTGCCAGCGCTGAGTGGTGGCACGCCCTCGTCCACACCGTTCATGCCCACCGCGATGTCAACATCAGCCTCATCAACAGCATCAACTTCAACACCAACACCAACGCCAACGTCAGCGACGGCCACGCGCAAAAAAGTGCAATTTATGGTTGAGGATAAAATCATAGCCATGGCGCCGCTGCCAGACACCGCAGCAGCAGCGCCAACAACAACAACCACAACAACAATATCAACTGATAAAAATGCTGATGAGTCGTCGCCAACAACAGCAATGTCAGCGACAAGACCAACAATGAACTACGAGTACTACAATCGCAAGCGTAATGCGTCCGCGCAGCAGGAGATGTCAAAGGAGCAACAACAACACCAACAACAATCGTCGACTGCGACCACCATTGCGCGTGACGTTGATGATGGGTATAACTTTACAGCTTCCGTTGAGCCAACAGCAGTAGCAACAGAAGCATCGCTAGCTGTGCATATTACGGCAGATAGTTTGCATTATGAAGATGTGATGGTGCGTCCGCCTGGAGCAGTAATCGAGCTGCACCCCCAGGCATCGCAAATATTTGACAATAGTTCCAACAGCAGCAGCAACAACAACAACAGTCGCAGTCAAGAGGATGCGAGTCAAGCTACTGAAATTTTGCCAACGTTGCCGACTGCTAACTCAAAATTATTATTGTCAACGCCGACACAGCCGCCGTCGACATCGAGCGCAATTCATCCTGGGTCAACAACAACAGCAATACGAACTGCAGAAGCAACAGGACCGACAACAACAACAACAGCAGCAAGAACAGCGGGAGTAACAGCTACCACGCCAACGTCACCGCATATCACTGCAAATGCTGTCAGCGCTTTGGGTAAGTCGAGCACCTCCTATCCACTATATACTACATATGTACATGTGCACTATATTTTTGATGTCCCAAATCCGAGAATATTGTGCAGTCAACATTTTGTGAGTCCATGCAACAGATTTAATCATGAAAGATACATACTCTCCATAAATCAATTTTTCCACATGCAACCGATTTTTGCGAACCATTTATTAGTAATCAATCAATTGAATAATTTTAATTAAATTAATTTAATTTCGATTTGCTGAAAAACTTTCTTTAATTGGATATATCATTTAGGAGTTATTCAATTTATTTCAGAGCAACAACAGCTTTCGAATAATAGTACAAGTAATTGATAGGACATTTTTGATAGGCCAAATTCATATTTCTGCTCTTATATAATATATATTATAAAGATATTACTCTTAAGAATAACCCACAAATGGATGGAATGATGAATGAAGAGAAATATCAACATAACTGGGAGACCCTTAAAATATTATTAGATTAAATGTTTAAAAGCCATTTATTTACACCTCTTTGTTGGTGTGTATCGGGACTTTTCCAATTCGGTCAAATTATTATCTGTTAATTATTATCTGTTATTATCTTTGGTCGAATTAAGGGTATCCAAATGTAGGCCACTTACAAACTAAAAGCTTTACCCAATATCAAAAGCTCTACATTCAACTAGTTACACAATTCCGCGCTTCCCCATTCCATGTCCTTTTGTCTTTCTCCCCCTCTCCCTCTCTCTCTCTCTCTCTCTTTCTCTCTCCATGTCCGTCTGTGGTCAAGTCCCTTTTCCTTTTGTTAGCTTTTAATTATGAGCATAATTCGTGCAATTCGCGCACTTTTCGCAATTTATGCAGCGTCGCCGAAAAATGCAATTCGTTAACTCTTCTACAATAGCGGATACACACACACACACACACAAACATACACACTTACATACTAGAAAACGATGTATAGTTTTTCTTACTCCTTGCATTCAACACCATTGCAGGCTCTGGCGGTTTTGCTACTGGTTCTGCTATCCTTGTTTATTTGTGGTAGCGAATTTTTGAATTGTTTGTCAACTACTCGTGAACTCAACCACATTACGCCTACGCCGAACTTTACCGCAGATCCTATAGGGGTGCGTAGGTAGGTGGCTGGGTGGGTAGTTGGGTAAACTCACGAGCACAAACACAAGCGATGATGCTTCAAATAAACGACACTTCATGCATTATACAAACTACGAGTATGCAATGCGAACTCACCCGATACGCCCTGCCCCCAAAACTAAACTCAGTCGGCGGCTGCAGTTGAAATTACAACATTTGAATGCGAGGTGGCGCCTGCGATGCGATGTGATGGCGCACCTGCCGCAAAGTGCACGGGGTTAACACTATAATCAAGCACACATTCTCGAATGCACACATACCACACACCCTTTGACACACACACACACACATTTACTATACATACATATACACATTCACAGACGCTGTGACACGTATACAGCAAACATGCGAACTGTAGACGGCGGGCAAAGTCAACGTGACATTTTCGACCCAAATGGGCAAATCCACAGAGCGTTCCGAAACTGCTTTCATATGCATGCTTACTGCCATACGCCACCATCCATCCAGCCACCTCTTCCCACCCCCACTGTCTGTCTTCTCTCTATGACTTGATCGTCTGGAGGGGTGGGGGTTAAGGGACACACATATTCGACTTCATTCAAAGCAAATTAACAGCCGACACAAAAGTTTGCATTCAATTAAATTTTGACTCTCGCACTCGAATTCCAAAATTAGTGTGCGCTGAAAAATTACAGTTCGTTGTGGGGGTGTGGGAGCGACTTGTATTTTGCAGGCTGGCCTTCTAAATGCGCCAGTAAGCATTAATACCGACAATAGCCAAGGAGAACGTTTTTTAACCCACTAGGTTACGAGGACTTTAAAACGAAAATTAATTAATTACCGTTTATCGAAGCTCGAAATAGCTACACCTTGTTCTATATACAAGTATATTATTCTTCAGTGATTCAGATTTCTGCAATTATTATTTTTAAATGATTATATTATGTATTTGTCTAAAAATGATTGACTAGGTGTTTTCCAGTAATAACATCACTCACCACCATTCAGCATTCAATTAATTGTACACAATCAATCCTTCTAATATATTTACGAGTTTAGTTTGGATGTACGTGGATATACAGACCAACTTTCCCTAAGGCGTTTGAGAATCAATTACCTTTTTAATCGACAACATGAAAAGAACCTTATTTCGAAATAGAGAGACTGATTTAGAAATTCAATTTTAATTTCCGGTATCTAAACCGTGCAAAGTCAAATGTGGAAAATATGGAGGCTTATATCTTTTTACGTGCTCACAACATTTCTCAAGGTTCTAACGAAATGAAGCAATACTGTATCCGTACGATCTTATTTTTCATTTGTTTTAAAGATCATTTCATCGATGGTATAAATAAATGAGTACATACAAAAAGCAACCCGTACTTAAATGATATGACATCTTTTGCGTGAGTGATCTGGCATACTTCATCTCTCGGTGGAAGGTTTCTAAGCGGCATCTTCAGAATTGGGGCAAGAAGTTAAGGGTTTTTAAATAAATGAAGTAACATCAAAAATATAAAAGGTTCTAAATAAATGGGCACCAAATTCAATTGAAGTACTCAATATTCCATACAAATTACTATTAAATACAAATTTGCTTCACGCCTTGGTTTTGGGGAAGAGAACAAATAACGGGTTAAAATAAATGTCTAGAGTGCCTGTCGGCAACTGTGGCGCAATGTGCTTATGGCTGCCCATTACCAGGAACATGCCAACGCCAACACAATGCCACCAGCACCAACAACAACAATAACAACACTAATGCCGCCGCCATCAGCTTCAACGCTGCCACACAGAAAGGTGATAGCACCACAGTGTCGCGGTTATGCCTGCGCCCACGTGTCTCTGCAAGACAATTACAAAGTTGCTCCTTTGATAGAAGCCGGGCCCTCTCGCCCTCCGCACGCCCCCTGGCCCATCACCATTGTTATCGGGTGGCAGTGTCTGCAATTTGTTGCATTGTTTGTCGCCCGCGTTCTATGCCCGCCACAGGCCGACGCCACCGCCGGTGAAGAGTTAAGCACTTGGAACTTTTCAAACTATTTTTGATTTGATTTTTGAAATTGGCGCTCCCTGTGGGCGCGCAGCGTAAGTTCGCGTGCACGCACACACGCCCCACTCCCTCTTCCCCCCGAACCCACTCTACCCAACCCTTTCCACCCAAAATCGAGCAGCTCCAGATGATTTATAGCGCACGTGTTGCATTCACTGGCGTGGGTAGCAGCGAGCCAAAGTCAAATCACAGTGAAAGGCATTAAAGTGATAGAGTCAGGCCGGTCTCTGTCGTGAGTGGCGTCGGCGAGTGAAATTTGCATTTGCGCGAGGCCACGAATTCGCCTACTCGACCATTCCTATAGCCATCATATTTAATGCCAAGCCAACGGCTGGGAGCGCACTTTTCCTTTCCTCGTGCTTTTGTCGGGACTTGCCATTCTTGGGTTTCTTTCCTTTCTTGTTTTTGTCTGCAGCCGAGGTATTATTAATATTTCATATTTGTCTTTGATAAGCACAAACGAAGCAGCAACGTGAGCGGCCGCTCCTCATTTGAATAAGCCAGTGAGTTGAAATTGAAATTGAGGCGACAGGCATTGCTTTAATGCCAGCTAGTTCAATCCAATTGTGAGCATAACTTTAATGTTTCCTTCTTTATTTCGTTTTCATTGTATAGAGATGGTTCGAGTTTAATGCATTTTCCTGAACTCAAACTGACAATTTGCCATCTGGGATAGCAGCACACCATTGAAATGTATTTAAAAGTCTCCAAGCATTTCCATGTTTTAACCTCTGCCACAACAAGGCAACTTGTTTTGGTATACTTAGTTAGGTATAGTTCCATAAGAAATATGCCATAATCAATTACTGCATTCGATAGCAATAAAAGTACATTTTAAAACTTACATAAATTTCCTTTAAACAAAGCTGGTGTGTGTAGCTGTAAGTGAACTCAAACACATGAAGAGAATTCGACTCGAGTTTTATGGTAACAGCCCCAAGTGCCGATTGCTCACTGCCGGGTATTTGTTTACTGGTTGCATGTTTTTCATTTTCATTTCATGTCCAATATCTTCATAGCACAAGCTTTAAGGCAATGGTGCATATTAAATATTGAATTTAATTCTTCTGATTTTAAAAAGGCATTTAAAACTGCCTAAAGTTTACGTAGTTTGTATTTATTTTGGTGGTGCGCTACGGAAGTTCTGCGACTGTCGTTCCTAGGACACAGCTTCGGATTATTGTACTGATAAATACCTATATGCATATGGATTTTTTAAAAATATGGTATGCGAAGATATTGTGAACAGATGGATGGGCAGCCACACCTGTCTCGTCATGAAATTGGCTTTTCACTTTGTAGCATACTTAGCTCGTCCCCTTTAGGATGCAGGGTATAACAATTGGTGGCAACACAAAATACCGAAGCTAATTGATTAGTCAGTTAATTGAAGTGTGCAATATTTAACACTACACTAGTGCAGTGTTAATGCCGTCGTCCTATCTGTAATTATAGCTTAACGCATTTAAATAATTCTGCTTCTCCAACCTCCATTTTTGTTGACAGTACTTTTGTGCTCGTATATAGCTGGATAAAGAGTTTATAACAAAAAAGAAGAGTAAACAAAATGAAACGATTTTAAATATAAGCTGCAAAATGTATTATTTAAATGCCAACAGCAGTCGCAGCTGCTGTCAGGATCAGGACCTGCGACGTGTCCTGGCATTGCCATTGGCTGGCACGGCGCTGACAGCCGCAACAATGTACATTTTTATGCTCATTTCTTGGTCGCTCTCATAACGCGAGTTATGAGCCTCGTGTCTTCATGTACTTTGCATATTTACACTAATAGAAAATGTAGCTGCAATTGAAAAAGAGAAAAACCAACAGAAAATACATAA